AAAATGGATTTGCGCGTGATTGCGCTACGTGTAGCGTCGGAAACGACTTGTACGTCGTTCAAATAGTGTGTAGAGATGTATACACAGCCACTACGTGGCGCTGGCGCGTCTGTGGGCTGCTACTCGTCGTTGTGCTGAATGGTTTTCACACTATATAAGACGAGGTCGTGCGTGAACTGATATCCGGAGTTTGTCCGGATACGGATTCCACGTGCTGGAGAGCAGGTGACCGACTCATAACTTCGTTCGACTTCGATAGGAGCTTCGAGGTAGCTGATTGGTCAGCACCAGGAGCTCGTCGGGAGCTCGCCGGGCACAGTACCACTATGAAATAAATCAATTCATATCAGAATTTTAGCGACGTAAAACGATTGTCAGCGTTATCAAACAACGCTGCCGGGATAATATAAATGATTTGCTATGATTTGATGGCTAATAGAGCTCTAAAATCGCCGAAATGAGGAAACTATGAGACTGCAAAATCTGACTCGAGTATGGTGCCATCACAAATATCTAGGTTGTTGTATGCTCTATATCCGGATGTATTTAATATTTACCTACATTCCTGTGACGATCTGCCCTTCATCAGGACGAGTGCACAGGAATGTAGGTAAATATTAAATACATCCGGATATAGAGCATACAACAACCTAGATATTCGTGATGGCACCATACTCGAGTCAGATTTTGCAGTCTCATAGTTTCCTCATTTCGGCGATTTTAGAGCTCTATTAGCCATCAAATCATAGAAAATCATTTATATTATCCCGGCAGCGTTGTTTGATAACGCTGACAATCGTTTTACGTCGCTAAAATTCTGATATGAATTGATTTCTTTCATAGTGGTACTCTGCCCGGCGAGCTTCCGACAAGCTCCTGGTGCTGACCAATCAGCTACCTCGAAGCTCCTATCGAAGTCGAACGAAGTTATGAGTCGGTCACCTGCTCTTGCGGCTAGTGACGATATCCTAATTAGGCTAATCTTTGTTTCGGCATTGTCCGCGTTCGACGTAAATTCGGCATGTGCTGATCCACAGCATGGTCGTCGCGGCATTTTCGTTTTAAAATCGGCATCGCAGCCACCATCGCCTCTGCGCCGCCACGCCACTCGACCCGTCAAGGCGACGGCAATCGCATCACACAAGAAGTCGCCCGTAGAGGAGGTTGGGCGCGGTCGTGTAGTACCCTGCATGGCGGCATGCGGCGACGCGGCGATGCCTCGAGCGCGGTCAGCAAGGTGGGCTCTTATATTCGGCATGTGCCACATCCACGAGGCCCAGGGTTTGTGAGCCAATGAGCTGCCATTCGAGATCTACAGTGGCAGCATCATGGCCGAGGAAGACCCCGTCGTGTGCGAGATCCCAGTGCATCTCGCCGACTTCCTGCGCGGCAACCTGTATGGCCATGGCCTCATCGTCAAGCGCATCGGCTCATGCACAATGCTAGGCATGTCTTCCAGTACCCGCTGCGACCGGTCTACCGTGGCATGCTCAACCGCCCCGCGAGCGCCAAGTACAAGCCCGAGAACGCCATGGTCACGCTCGAGTTCCCGGTCAACACCGAGACCAACTACAACAGTGAGGACCACACGCCGCTGCCGCCCATGCTGCCGCTCACCTCCAGCGTCGTGACGCCCGTCTCCAACTACGCGGCCGGTGTCTTCCGGAAGGGCCAGCTGCACTTGACGCCGGTCTCGACCATCATGCAGCTGCGCCCATCGCTGCAGCACCTCGACGAGTCGGACGACGAAGCCTCCGACGACGACATGGCGGACGTCGAGACGGACAAGAAGGCCGAGGCGACGCCTGACGTCAAAGAGGTCCAGGTGCAGTTCAAGAAGCGCCAGTCGGAGCGCGCCCTCGCGGCCATGCAGAGCTCGTACGCATACAAGCGGGGTTTGATCCAGAGCGAGAAGTGGATCCCGCTGCGCGTGGTCTCGGAAGACGAGGACAAGGACGAGTTCGAACAGCTTTTCAGCGAGACCGAGGCGCCGGTCGAGTTTGACGTGACACCGGCGGCGTACCTCCGTGCGCTCAGCTACCGCAACGGCGACGACGTGGGCGCACTGTCGCGAACCTCGGACGACGTCGACATGGTCGGCAACGACGACTTGGACAAGAAGGTTCTGGATATCCTCACGACCGGTAGCCCAATCCGATGGGCTTGGATACTTTGTTTGACATGGATCTTTCTGGATACTAGACAAGGTGCTGCACTGGAAGGAACTCCGGTCGCTGCTCCCGGTGTTTGTGACCACTGACGAGCTCCGCGCGTGCGTCGACCGCGTCGCGACCATCGTCCGCGGCTGCCTCCTGCCCAAAAGCACGCTCCTCAAGACCCACGTCGCGTACCGTTCGCTGCTGGCCGACGAGGTACGAGATGGCCTCTCGATGCGCTCGCGATGCCACGTCATTTTGGATTCTAGTTTCAAAAATCCGCGTCCATCTCGCGCAGTGAGTTTGCCGAGACGCATGGCGTGCCCGCCGACATTGCCAAGTCGCTCTTGCAAGGTTCGTGTTCCTCTTCCTCCTTATGTGCATGATTGCATCCTCTTTCTTATCTTTATGGATGATGCTCATGCGGGTCGTAGAGTACGCGGTCTTGAACCCGGCGACGCGGCTCTGGCAGCTCAAGCGGGCCGACGACAACGTGCAAAAGTGGCAATGATCTCGCCATCCGATCCAGAACCGGCGGTTTATCTACGACGATCCAATGTAATACCTATCTGATCGACTCCAAATCCAGTCGTCTTCCGTTGCCGACGCATATATATATATATATATACGCGCGTTCGTTTTTCTACTATCCAGTGTCCTCTGCAGCATTATCCAGTATACTGTGCTTACTCTGCGATCTTGATCCTGATTCCTCTGCTCGCATCCCGTAGCGTTGGCTCTCGCATCCATGCCAACGTACTCTCTTCGACGACCCAGTGAACTCTGTGCGAATACTATCCATAAATCTGTGCGAATACTATCCAGTGTTCTCCTTGCTCACGGGACTACCGTCCTGTGTCCACTCTTCTCCATGTGTACAATGTTGACACTACCGCATCGCTCGTCACCGTACTATCCTGTTCACGGTCGATCGCAAGATCTACCCTCCTATCCAAAACTATCCACATGGAGACGCCACGGATCCAGATCTTGTAGCATCCATCGAGTAGATTCTCGTACTACTCTAGTACGAGCGTATATATAAAAAGAAAAAGCTTAGACGGCGGTCGCAAACGCGCCTTCGGTCGGTGCATCCGGCAGCACGGGGCCAGGCACCGCGTCGCTGTGGCTGCTGCTCGTCGAGCTCGCCGTCTCGGGCGACGACGCCGCCGACGTCTTTGGTCGGTCCTTGTCCGGGAACTCCGTCTCGGCCGTCGTGTGGGGCGCAGTCCCCGGCGTGTTGGTGTTGCGCGTGAGATCGATAAAGCCCGGACTCTATCCAACGCGTTGGATAGATGCACACTAGGATAGTCACGGCGCACCTGCGAGTTGACTTCGTAGTAGGATTTCTTGGCCGCGCAGCAGACGCCTTGGCTGAGGTAGCGCAGTCCTTCCCAGAGCGAGTACGAGGTCGGTGGCAGCGGCGCCGACGCGACGCTGTCCTTGCTAATGGCCACAGCCTTCTCTTCAGGCATGTTGAGCATGTCCGTGAGGTCGTTGGCGCTCTTCGTGCCCGAGTGGGCCGCAATCTCGTACTTGTCGCTCAGCATGCGGAAGAGCTCGACCTCGCGGCCGTGCCAGCCGTCAATGACCGCTTGGATCGTGCACTGGTCGAGCTTGGCCGGGTTGTACGTCGAGTAGAAGAGCACGAGCGCATCGCGCGTCTCGAGCGATGCGTCGTAGTGACCTATGGAGGAATCTGCGTGAGGCTTCAAGCGGCCACCATGGCAGCGTACTGCGGTCGTTTGGGTTGCTCAGCACGGCGTAGGCCGCTGGCACGCCGTCCCAGCGCTCTTCCGCTTCCTTTGATGGGTTGCGATCCGGGTGGAACTTGAGCGCGAGCTTGCGGTACGCGGCGCGGATCTCGGCGTGCGTCGCTGACCGCGGGATGCCCAGCGCCGCGTAGTGGTCCTTGTAGCGCACGGTCTCGGGCGTGAGGTGCGAGGCCTGCTGCTGGTACCGCTTCATGTACTCGCGGTGCATGTCCATCTTCTCGCGTTCGTTGGCCATGCTCTTCGTCTGGCTGCTGCTGCTTCGTGGAGTGGCTCGGCAGAGAAACTTATTTGCGCGAGCGAGGACGACGAGTGCCTATAATTAGAGAATTAGGACTTGCTGTGCCGAAATGAAGCAGCCGTCCGGATCTTTGTCCCAGTTTGTCCCGGATCCAGCAATTACAAAAAGGATTCGACCGCCAATAAAAAAGGGACACACGGTGGCAAGCCGACGTCGGCTGTACTGCGCCCACAGCATCGCTACAGCTCAACTCAAAACACGTTCAAAACCCCTCGGTCGCTCGGTCCAGCAAGCAGCCGCAAGAGGCAGCCCGCAACGATGCTGCACTCGTTGTTTCGAGAGATCGGAGAAGACTCGTGTGAATTCTGTATCCAGTATCAGGGTGGTCAGCACACGCCAACGACGACGCGGTCAATACGCTGCATCCTGCGTTCGATAACGATACATGGCTTCTCTGTACCTGTCTGTTGGTCAATTGGTGCACCTTGTGCACCCCACTTCGTGGTGGGAACGGCGTGCCGGAGGAGCTATCGTGGCTGCTCGCTGAAATACTCTGGTCTTGAGCTTGGTGTATCAAAACGCTCTTCTGAAATCTGGTTTCGATCATTTCTGGGTGTTGCCCGTGCGCGGTTTCGTGCTGGCTCGTGCTCTGCAGAACCTGGTCGTCTTTGCACCAAGAGCGTACATGCAAGTGAGCAGCTTAAGAGCCGTCCAGTCGCAACTAGTACACCGTGTCGGTAGCACGGTGCCATCGAAACATCCGAGGATTCCGTGGTCATCACGTGCGTGATGTTCAACGAACGTGGCCGTTGCAAGATGGGCGAAACCTCGTGGAATTCGGTTTTCCACCACGGCCGACCAGGCTGCGCTGGATGGCGGGATATGATTGGACAAAAGGATGGACGAATCCGAGGCCTCAGTGTCGACATGTCGCATGGTTCTCGCAACGCGAACCTTAACCTCAACCTCAACCTCGGCAGCTGCCCGCGACACGAGTGTAGACGCAAAACCCGCGTCTTTGGCCTCCTCGGTGCTTATAGTACGGCGCATGGGACTACTGGGTAGCGAAGTAATGGCTGCACAGATGATGGTTGCCCATGCGCCGTTTAGACACGCGACGCCACAGTACTAGTATCACTACCAGTGTACTAGTACTAGTACGTCGTAGTTCATCCTCGGAGCTTCTCATGTATGAAGTGTCTGCACCATCCCATACATCTTTACTGATCGTCTTTCTTGGGTCGACCGGATCGGTGTCGCCGGAAATGGCGGTTGCAACGAGGGCACTGCTATCTGGGGGTAGGGTCGGCAAGTGACGTGACCCGAAGCGGACTTTAAAAATCGAGGGTGAGGAAGAGCGTTTAAAGTGGAAGCGACGGTGGTCGCTCGACTCAAATCGATAGAATCAAATCGGTTGGCGAGGGCTCAACCGACACCCACCTGACGTGTTGCCTCTGCAACGGCGAGGCTCTACCATCCATCGCGGTGCGTCGAGCGTCCGCGGCTCGGAGCCGTTGAGTGGAAGAAGGAGGGCGAGGTGTCTACGGGCTGTAACGTGAGAAGCCTTGTTGCCAGCGTTTGTAAATCCAGTGAACGTTGCTCTTGTGTCATCCATGCGTTCGCAGCAGTAACGTGCAGAGCCCACCACCTGTACGTTAGGGTGCTATCCGATCTGCTTTAACAAGCGCCATACCCGTCCCCACCTGTTGCCTGCCTACCGGTACTGTACATGATTTCGCGACACGAACACGAAGCAACGATCCCGGAGCTCCATGTTACATGAGGCAGCACGACGAGGATGACGACGAGGACGTGGCATCGAGGCTCGCAGGCGCAGGCATCGGTGCCTCGTGCGCTGGCGGCGTCGGTGTCGGGGCAGCTTCTTTAGCGCGGACGGGCGCTGCCTTGGCCGCCTGCTTCTGCATCGCCGCGATGGTGGAATCGAGCGATGGCGCGTCGGTGTGGTGTTGCTTGGCGAGAGCGTCCACGACGCTCTCAGGAATGCCATGCTTCTTGGCTTCTTGCTTGGACTGCTGCAACATGATGGCATTTCGGACCGGATCGTCGTTCTTGAACGGGACTATTCCAACACGCATGATGTATCGATCGATCGGCAGCAGGAAGGGAGGTAGAGTGTACCAAAGGCTGGCGGCGCCTCGTGCACCGAGACTGTTGTTTCAAAGTCCGACGGTTTGTCCCAGCGGTCTTCGCCCGTCTCGTTGTTGTGGTAATATGTCTTGCCTCGGCGAGAGGTGAGCGCGACCCACCGGCGCTGCGTGGCCGGCTTGGCCGGCGCTGCGCTCGCCGCCTCCGCGAAGAGCGTCGCCGGCAGAGGCGCGTGGCACACGGTGCAGGCCGGCGCCTCGGCCATCGCAAGGTCCTGCTTGGGGATGTTGACGTGGCACGCCGGGCACTTGACGAAGCGGTCGCTGATGTTGGCCATGTCCAAATTGGAACTATCCGGTGACCGGATACGGCGGCAGTCGGACAAAATGCATTTTGTCCGGACCAGATTCGCTGTTTTGTCCGGACCAGATTCGCTGTTTTGTCCGAAGCGAGCATCTACTACGTCGTGTACTGCGGACTGGAGCGGGATGGTGGAGCTGGTGATGCCACAGAGCAATCCAAACGATCCTGGATCGACCACAAGAATACGGATACGTCAGGCGATTATCCAGGTCGGTTGACCATCGATCGAGGTACCACCACCGGAATCCTTCACCACTTGGTCTCATGACCCGGCCTGTCCGCACGAGGGGCAGCTACATGTAGCCGTCACGGCAGCAACCTCGCGCCGCAGTGCCGAGTCAGCAAGAGCAAGCAACGCTAGAGATACTATTAATACATGCATTCAGATTCTCAACTTGTAGTGGCAGCCGTTTGACTGCTGAAGCCATGCCAGCCTTTCTGCTAATCTAGCGCTGTAGCCAAAGCGAGAGAGCCACCACTCTATACATGTAGTCTCGAGGCATGTCCACCTCGTGGCGTCCAGCAACCGACCAAGAAGGTGGTGGCAGCTGCAGCAACTTTTGTCCGGTGGCGTATCCGGATGACTGTCCGGATGCATAGAGACGACGATGTGTCAACACATAAAGAAGCGTCACGTCGACCAGCATGATGCAAGCCCTTCGCCTCGCGGGCGCGTGCAGCCGACCGATTCTCCGCCGCCAGCTCAAGGCGCGCGCGTACATCGCGCCAACGAACCTCTACCAGCAGCCCACGCGCGTCCGCATGCAGGCGCCGCCGCAGCGCGCGATCGAGCTCGCCGCGTACGTGTCGCCGCCACATATATGCCGACGATGCTCACGTACGTCGCCACGTTGGATAGGCCTGCGCCCCGACATGTCCCATGTACTGGAAGCCGGCAAGGCCTCTTGTCGCTCGGTCTCGTCGTGGCCGCGAGCTCGGACGATGCCCAGTGCGCGGGCGGCGACGACAAGGCGACCGGCGACGCCTTGGCCAAGCTCCAGACGTTCTTGACCGACTTGACGAAGACCGTGCCGACGTCGCCCGAGGACCTCCAAGCGCGTGTGAACGACTTCCTTGCGTCCGGCCAGGGCGGTCAGATCTCCTGGGGCTTCATGATGGGTGCGTGCTCGGGCTTTGCGCTCAAGAAGGTCTCAAAAGTCGGCGCCGTCATGCTTGGCTGCGCCTTTATGGCCATGCAATGCGCGAGCTACTACGGGTACCTCGACGTCAACTACAAGAAGCTTGAGCGTGACATCACCGATATGCTCGACATCAACAAGGTGCCACCTGCCACCTCCATACTATGTCGAGAGCTCATGTGGAAATGCATTGTAGGATGGCAGGATGGCAAATTCGACGCCAAGGACGTCCAAGTCATGTACAAGAAGATGATGGACATCCTCGAGTTCAGTCTCCCCGCGGGCTCGGGCTACGCGGCGGGCTTCCTCGTCGGCTTCCGCTCCGGCTAACGCATGCTGTTGCTTCAAAACGACAATCAACCCTAACCACGAATATACTTTTGCCCTTTGAGTTCTTGCTACAGATGGCTCTGAGGACATGGCGTCGGATGCCAGTCGACGCCAAGTTGCAACTGGACAACCAAAGGACGTGGTACCTCTCGCTTGTCCGCATGGAGGAGGCTCGAAAGCATCACCGGTTCCCGCTGCTTTTTTCATTCGGATGTGCCAAATCCCCTAGAGGTCGTGCGATGAGCCGCGGACGTAGATATCATATGTGGTCGAGTCCTGCGATGATACATGTACTGCACGAACGACTGCGTTTACAGACTCGCCTCTCGCTCGACCCACGGTCTTGCTCCCTGTTGAGGACTCTCAAGAACTTTTCTGCTTGTAGCATCCACCAAGCTGAGGTGCAAGAGAAGGCAGGTTTGTTTCCGGAAACTTCCAGCAGCGCCCGCGCCCTTTTGTCGTCGTCAAAGAGGATGATGGAACTCGCTCGGCCTGTATCACGAGCTTCGGCCACTAGTAGGCCCTTGCGTTCCAGGCTCCGCTGTACGGTAGGCTCGGGGTGCATCTGGTCTGTTGTCGAAACGCGTCCACAGAAGAAAAGACAATATTGTATTTGTATCGAGCAATGTGGTTAAATAGTCGTCGGCAGACACTAGCGCACAAAAGTGTCGTTGCCCGTGCTGCTCCGCGACACGAACGAGTCGAACGCGCTGCCGTGGCTATCCGATACGAACGACGTGGTCGGCTGTGACTCGAGCGTGCTTTCCCAGAGCTGTGGCCGGCGCGGCTCTTCCATGTAGCTGTCGTTCTCGTGTTGGAAGCGCGGCGCTGTGTCGACGGCCGTCGGTGTCGTGCCGTCCGTGTACGTCTCAAAGACCGCTGCGCCTGCCGCGTGCGTCGGGGTCAACGGGTCGTCGTGCACCGGCATCGAGCCACGCATGTGCCGGCGCTTGATGAAGCAGACAACACCCGCGGCCAAGACGACGGCGCCCGCGGCAATGATGCCAACGACGGGCCAGACGCCAAGCGCCGTCGACTCCTCGGTCGGTGCTGGCGTGACCACGGGCGATTTGGTCGCCGTGCGCAGAGCCGTCGTTGTTGTGGGTGTTGGCGTCGTTTCGGACGAATTCGGCGTCGGCGTCTCCGTCGATGGCGGCGCAGTTGGCGCCTGTGTGGCCGGGGCCGCTGTCTTGGGTGCGTTGGTCCCCGGGCGCGGCGGTGGCCGGCGCCTGTGTTGGTGCCGCCGTCGTTGACGGCGGTTGCGTGGCCGGGGCCGTCGTTGAAGGCGGTAGTGTCGTCGTGGGCGCCGGCGTCTTGGGCGCTTCTGTCGTTGTCGACACGGGCGTTGTCGTCGTCGGCGGTGGCACGGTCGTCGTCGGTGGCGGAGTCGTTGTCGGTGGCGGCGTCACGGTGGTCGGTGTTACGATGGTCGTCACGGTGGGTGTGGTCTCGTTGCTTGCTGCGACGCCGCTGATGGCGAGGAGGAGGCAGACGACCAAGGCGGTGGCAGACCAACGTCGCATGCTGCTGGTCGGAGGCAAATGTGAAAATGACACGGCCACTGACAGCAAACATTGCAACCTTGCAAAATTTCAACTCCATTCCACCTGTTACACGTGGTAAAAGAGCGGTTATAACAAATTTTCGGAGCCGCGTTGAGCGCCTTCTCAGTCGAAGCGATGAAGCCGCACGTGGACTGGCGACGTCCGATTGTCCGACAGGTCCACTCGACCATCTAATGCGTGTGCAGGTATGAGCCACGTCCCTGCACTCTGCAGAAGAGAAGATCTGATTTGCTGAAGACCCTTGGTGCGGCGGCGTCTCCCTGTCAGAGGTGACATCTTGAGATAGGAGCAGCTTGGCTTTGCGCGAGAGCTGCGTATAGGCGCATTGTACGGTAGAGATCGAGTTAGTGGACAAGACGATCGAGCTAGCTTCGACAGGTCAGGCTGCTTCCCAGAGAGCAAAATGCTACTTGTTGCCAATGCGATGGCACGTGGAACACCATCCAGAGATGTTATAACTGGACAAGCCTGTGACATGCCAAGCATTTGGGTATCCCGTTGAAATATTGGAATGTAATTCCAACCAATCACATGCGAGTATCTATACCGTTGTAGCCAATCCACGGTGTCCAGGATTGGCGCCAAATTGCACAGCACTATATGTCGGGTCCCGCTTGCTCACTACTTCCTCGAGCTAAACACTCTAGTACTTAAGAAATGGTCTATTAACTATTAATACTACGACGATGACCACTCGAATTATTGCAAAAAGGAAGAGTTCCGCGAGCGAGACGGCGGGCACCTGCCCAACGAGAGTATCCACTCGGCACAATATCACTGCATTCCAACTCGAGAAAAGGAAAGGGCTTTGGCGACTCGGGGTGGCACGGCTCGCTACTTTGGAACGAGTTGGAATGCTTGTACATAGTTCTCGATGCTGGCGGTTGGGTGCACCGTACTGTAGCCGGCCATAAGCACTACCGTCGACCCTTCCTTTCTGTGTTTCTACAGCCATGTACGGAATCGCTTTGCATATACACGGGGAGGTTGCAATGGTGCGTCTGATATCGTAATGAGCCCACCCACGCACAAGGGTGCCTCTTCCACGCATCAGGTACCGGTGCCTTCATAGGCCAACCCGTCATGAAGGATGTTGAACATTTTTTGTCCATGAGCGTGGGCACGGATGTACGCCACCAAGTAGTCTAGGTCCGAATTCTCTGAGCTTCTGCGGTCACATCAAGAACTACCAGGTGTAGCGGGAAGATGTTTAAAAGAGTAGAAGTCAGTGGCTCTTGAAGATAGCCTTCTATCCTTATCCGGATGATGTAGGACCCAACCGTGCAATCCAACGACACAGGACATTGCAGGATATGGCGGCGGTGCTCGTTGGACCTCCTCGCTGCTATCACCGCCTACCAAGACGGTCTAACCGAAGCAATGGACGATGTTTAGACACTCGCCGATGCGATTCAGCTCATGCCAGCCAGCTCGGTCGCGACCGGCACCTCGTGAAAGTTCCAACGCCATGGCGGCGCTGCCGTAACGCTACGCAGACCCGACGTCCAAGCTTTCAACGCACGCGTTCTTTGTATCGCCGACCAAGGCCGATCTGGCCTTGGCGTTGCACCTGTCGACTGTCCAAGGCAACCTGGCGATCGCAGCCATGGCTTCGCCACAACGCGGCGCGGGTGACATCAGCGACGCTCGAGCTCGCGGTGTCTCAAGGCCCCATTCTACTTATGCCTGCTGTTGAAACGCTACCGGCAACCCGATCTCGTGACGCCCAAGATGATGGACATCGTGGCCATGGCGGGCGATTTGACGCTCCTGCGTTGGCTGCACAAGGCCGGCACCATCTGCACCACCGACGCGATGGACGGTGCAGCCATGAACGGGCACTTGAACGTCGTCGTCTTTCTACATGAAGCGAGATCCGAAGGCATCGCTGGCAGCGATGGTCATGCTGACATTGGTCGCTTTCGTCTCCCGCATCAATCGGAAGGGGTCCACCCAGATTAGATCGTGTAAAACGTTTGGCGTGCGTTGAGCGTCCCACCTTGAGGCTATCGACTTGGTGGCGGCGACGACGAGCGAGGCTGGATGACACACTGATGATTGTGCGTCCAAGAGTCGTCATCGGTGCAACTTTTTTCCAAAAAGTGAAGGTCGTTGATTCACCGACTGTGCTCGAAGATTCTCGTGCGACGAGTCTCCACGACACGGTCGCACACGGACTCGGAAGTTGCCAGATGCAAGAACTACAGTCGAAGGACGCAGAGAGGGGCGTGCTGTTGGTGGCACTTGCCTGTAAACCAACTAAAATGCATGGTAAACGCGTCCAGGCTGTCTGGATGCGGCGGCTACCGGTGGCGCTAAAAGTTCGCCTGTCAAAAACGCCGGATCCGGATAATTTCTGGATTTGACGCGCGATCCATTGCTGGATTTGACACGGTAACATAATATGTTACCGTGTCGCTGCTGAATAATATTCAGCAGCGACAGGACGAAATTGACATTCTACAACAACCCGTGTCATTGGCATGGCAGCGTCATGTGTGCTTCGGTCCCCGGATCTCGTCGGTGCTATCATTGCGCACCAAGACGGTCTGCCCAAGGCGCTGGTCGATGTCCAGAATCTCGTCCATACCATCCAACTCCGGCCAATCAGCAGTACAGTGGGATATCTCGCCGACATACCTGCGCGATTTGCTTCCTTGCCGTACCTCCAACGACACCTGGACGCGATGGCCGAGCTGCCGGCGACGGCGCTCGGCGTGTCGCCTCACGCAATGGACCCAGCATTGGCGCTGCACCTCTGCGTCGTCGAAGGCAGCATCGCGATCATCAAGCTCTGGCTTCGACACGAGCCAGCGCTCGTCACATCGGGCACGCTCGAGCTCGCGGCGGCGTCGTCCCAAGGCCTTATTTTGCGACTGCTGTTGGAGCGCTTTCCCGAGCTTGCGACGCCAACGATGATGGACCTCGTGGCCATGTCGGGCGACCTCTCACTCTTGCGGCGGCTGCACGACGCCGGCGTCTCGTGTACGACAGCTGCGATGGACGGTGCAGCCATGAACGGGCACTTGGACGTCGTCGTTTTACACGAAGCGAGAACCGAAGGCTGCACGATCGTGGCGGCGACAGCAGCGGTCGTCCATGGTCATGCCGACATTGCTCGTTTTCTCCTCAGCCATTGCAAGGAAGGCATCGAGCCCACGCTC